TAGCTTCTTCCGCTCCATTTTTGAGCACATCTGGATCCAAGAGAAAAAATCAAAAAAAGAAAAGCAGAAAAATAAGAAAAAAAAAATGCTCAAATTGGCAGAGATGATGGTAGCTCTAATAGGAAAAATGAAAGTTTCAACAAGGATGGTGCATCTGTGAAGCAGAAGAAACGAGGAAGAGAAAATGATGTGTCTGAAGCTTCTCAGAAGAAATTGAAGGCATAAGATGAGGTATAGATCGGAAGACAGGGTTTTTTCAGAATAGTATGGCATTGAACATGGTGGAAGAGGTTCAAAGATCTGGCGCGTGAAGGTTTGAACGATACCTCACAGCTTATAAAATTTTGTATCATTTACTAAGCTGTATAGACTATGAATACACAGGGTGAGAAAGTAGTTTTTGTTGACAGTATTTCCCAAATCCATCTACCATATTCTTTATCATTCACGCTAGTAAAGCTAAGAAAGGTTATCAAATATTTACCAAACTTTTTGAGCTATGTTGTGTGTGTGTGATTCTGCTCATTTGGATACCAGTCTATTTGTACATATGTCGAATCCCATTGATTTACACACACACACACACACATTAAAGGACTCAACTAGCTTAGCCATCAAAACTTTAAATACAATGCAGAACGTAGTGCATATATATAATAAATGACAGTCCAAAGGTGAAACCCCAGGTACAACCATCTATTATGTTAATTTAAACATGAAAGAGTTAAAAAGAAGTGAAAGAAACAGGACAGATATGTTTATTATTGCTGTAACCTTTATGCTGTCCTATCCGCCATTTGTGAGAGGATCAAACCTGTCATAGAAACACAGATGGTCTTTGTCAATCATTGGATAGCTGTGTATGACTGAAAGGCTTGAAAATTTAGCAGTAACTATCAAGTGTTACTTATTCTGCGTGGGATTAGATTTGCTTGGAGGTATCCTTCTGAAACATGAATCCACCACCTGCCTTGAAGGGTTTTTCCTTTGTGCAGCCTGAGAAGATGAAGTCTTGCCGAGGGGCAAAGAATTCACTTCTTTAGATGGGATAGCCTTAGATTTGACTCTAGGAGACCAGGTTGATAATAGCAGTGAAAGTGTAAGAGCAAGAGCAGCCAGCGGTCTGGACCTGAGGCACTTCATGGTATTGGTAATGGTAGGTAGTAAAGGTAGAGGGCTTTGATTCTTACAGGCTTGTTGGATGATTTTTGTTACTTGCTGCATTGTGGTTCAAGTCTCTTGTGCTAGTGATGAAATATTGACAAGGGTGAAGTGGATTGGTGTCGATTTATATTCTTTCTGATAACAATGAGGCAGAAATCTGTTTGAGATCTGAGGCCTGTTTGATCATGTGCTCAACTCTTGTCATGCTGCCTTTTGCGTTGTCTAGCCTTAGGATTTGGTGAACCTGGTGACAGAAACTTCAGAAAGGTCATGTGATCAGGCACGTGATCCTACTATATTTCTAACTTTCTTGGAAAAGGCCAAAGGTATTAATCAATTTAGTCAAGGCAATCATAATCTTTTGATTCCCAGGAAGTTTAAAAATAATTAATATGATCGTCTAGTGGGTGTTGTTAATGGCATAGTTCTATTATTTATTTTTTAGAACACAAAAATTATTTGTTATTTGTATCTACTTTATTTGTATATTAAATGCGTGCTAACAACTCTTAAATCACCCGAGAAAAAGACGTCTTTCAGTAGACCCTGAAATTCGCATATTGATTATTAATACAGAGATAATCTGATTAGTCGTTATTCAATTATCTAAGGAGAAAAGTCGCTCATGTTCAACCTTATTGCTAAGCTAATGTTGGTAATGATAGGGACCAATCATCTTTCGGCACTATGCCCATTTTTAGAATTGGACCAATCGCTTCGCGCAAACACACTATTCAGAGATGATATTCTAGGTTAGTGACTCGTATTAAGAGGGTGTTTGGGTTTGCTTAACAGTATTTTTTAAAAGTATTTTTTCGCAAATCGAGATAAATTTTTCTACATATTTACTTCGTATGCTGTAAAATTATTTTTAAAATCATGATTTTGTTTCCATCCAAACACCTCCTAAAAATAAGGATGCCAAATAATTTTAATTAAATTTTACTTTTTTGGATATCTAATAAATCTAATAAATTTTTAGAAAACCAATAGCTTATAAATAATCTTGATTTGGTGTAACTGCTTAAATTAATTAAGAGACCATTGCCAAAACAAAGAAAGGAGCTCTCTTTTTTCTCTGGGCAACTAGATCAATCTGATTATCCGTGTGGTCTCTGTTTTGGGTCAATTGATTTTGGATGGAGAGACATAAGGCTAAAATGGTCTTTTTATGGGAATAAAGGCTAAAATGGTCTTTTAAACAAAAGGAAAGCTTTCTTCTTGTCAGAAAGTCACTCCAGCGTCGACCCGTGTGTACAAACAAGCAAGCACGGGACATTGAATTGAACGATGGACACAGATCGGATCCTTCTCTCCCGATTTTCAACGCCACCGTTTTAGAACGTTACCAACAACTTCTCGGTACTCTTTGTTTCCACTTTCGAAACGGGGAAAATAAATAAATAATAAATTATTAGATAACGCCAGAATTCCCAGTAACTATTTGCTCGAATCGAAACCAGGTCGAATTTGCAAGACACAGATCTCAGGTAATTTTTTTTCCTAATTCGATTCGATTTCCTTTCTCTGCCTGAAGCTTTCAATTTTCAAAAGAAGTCTGTTATTTGATTTCTCTCTCTGCTGACTATTGTATTGATTTTGATCGATTTTGTACTTGAGTATGTTCGTTTGAATTTTATGCTTCTCAGTTCTTTATTCACGTCATCAATGGTGGCGTCTAATCAAGGCTGCATCTTTAATGTTTCATCTTGCAATTTTGCTTCGTGGGTGGCAAATTTTGTAGAATTCATGGTCCATTTTCGAGATAAAAGGAAATTCGTTATACACACAAACCGGTTACCCTATGTTTTTATTTATTTTATTTTACTTTAGTTTTTGTGAATCGGGATAATTGGGTGGAGTTACATGAGTATGAGGCAGTTGCAGTCTTGCAGAAACCGAAGAAAGGTATAAAATTTTAGGGGAAAATATTTAGAAGATGTCAAAGTTGGAAACATGTTCAAAAACTGATCTGCTGGGGAAGGATCGGTCCAATTAAGTAACGCCTTGTTTCGAGGACATGGATGAATTCCGAAGGAACCAATGTTCAGCAGAAGAAAAAAAATTTCGTTCTTTCCCGGAAAGGCCCCCACAACACTTATATTTCCTGCACGTCTTTGGGGATGTGCAGGGTATGTTCATCTTTGCTTCTCTTTTGGGCATATCAGTTTGCCGATATTGCTAGGTTCTGCTTGCCTTTAGGGCTTAATGATCAGAATAAGCAATGAGATAGTGTTGAACACCATGTTGAGACTTGAGAACAAGGGTAAGCCCCCAGAGAACCAGTTTTCCGTTCCACATTATTCATTTTTGCCAGCAAAACCCCCACACAGCAATACTCATAGTAGAAGGTGACTGGATGGACAGCTTTGCTTCTCGTTCAGATCTGAGTCTGTAGATATAACTGGCTTCTATTCCCTTTTTGGCCTAATGGTGGATCACTTAGGTTTAGAGGAAAGAATTATCTATTTCGGCTGATCAGGGCTTCATACAATGAACAAACTTTAACTAGCTGTTAATAGTTACTTCCTCTGTCTCTTATTATAAGATCTAATTTTTTGAATGGGTTTGTCTCTTTTTATAAGATCCTCTTTGATTTTTTCTAAACATTTAATGCAGTATTACTTATTTTACTTCTAATTTAATGTATTTCATGCATTCTCTTTCTTCATTCATCTCACTATTACCTTCTCACATTTATTCATTTATATATAAGGGTATATTTGGAAAAAAACTGCTTTTGCTGCATATTAATTGCTTTTAACTAATTTTAACTATTTTCTTAAATTGCGTAATTTAGTTAAAAAGATCTTATAATAAGGGATGGAGTAATATAATTTGAGACTAGCTGACTCTGGATTGCTGTCATTTTCTGGCACTTGGTAGTCCACAGATAAAGTCACGTAATTTTATGTTACTTACAGAACAAAGTACAATGATACTTGTATTGGGGTAATTTGGTATGCTTCACGGATCTTAGTAAATTTTCTGCTATCCACTGCTGGACGATGAATCTACTACTAGGAAAAGATCTATGGGAAATAGGTGGCGCTGTTATTTTGTTATCATTCTATAAAATTTAAGCAATGGCACTAGTGTATTTGATTGAAATTGTTATAGGTCTCTGGTGGCAAGTGATGATTCAAAGTTTTCAAGTTTACTTATTGGTCATGTTTTATGATTTATCTCTCATAAGTTCTTCATGCTTCTTAGTTGCTAATGGTAGGTCATATGAAACTTGGAGCGAATGTTTCCTTTCCTGTTTCCTCCATCTCTAATATCCCATAGAACTCATGATTTGTGAAAAATTTTATGGCTTCAGCTGAGTTAATGTCTTTGAATTGACCCTCTGATCCCAAATCAAGAATGTAACAAAAATTGAGAACTTTTGCATTTCTTTTAGTCATTTTCTCTAGCTTACCTGCTATCTTTTTTATTGATATTTTTATCCTCAATCAGTGCTAAGCAGGCAGCTAAGATTATTGTTCGGATCAAAGAAATAAAGTACGGTGCAGATCTTTGCTTGATACTGTTCAAAATTTGTTGAATGGCGGAGAAATCATGCATCAAGCGCCTCCAGAAGGAATATAGAGCTCTTTGTAAAGTAAACCATCTTACTTCCTTCTTAAGTTGTGTTTAGAAGTAATGCATGTGCTAGCATGCTACTTTTGCTGTGTATCTATGCAATTATGCTTGTTTTGTGGTTTGTTTAGCTCTTCTTTCTGCCGTTTTGAGTGTACTTGTTATTGATAATTTGGTATAATAGCTGGTAGAGCACTGTGAGTACTTATGGCACACATCCATTTATCTTGTTGCATACCTGAAGTTTGTGCAATGCATATGATTTTCTGATTAATTGTTTGCATCCTTCATTAGTCTATGTAATTTAATATGGGGGAGCTCCACTGGCTGTTATGATGTATTGACTTAAAGTTTTCCTTTTTCAAGTATGTTGGAATTTTTGTAATATGTCAACTGGATAATGCTTAATCTTTATCATGCATTTGCAGGAGCCAGTGCCCCATGTTGTTGCTCATCCATCACCTAACGATATACTTGAGTGGCGTAAGATTGCCTTCCAGTGTTTCATTTTCTTAAACTATTTTATGTTGAATTTATGTAAAAACTAAAAATTGTAGTTGGCCTGTAATTTGTGAATATCAATTTTCTTAGCTGGGCATTGAAACATGTCAGCATGATGATGGATGTCAAGTTTTCAGCCACTTTCCAGATATTTGTAGTCCAAATTGATTAATTATAAAAATTAACAACGAAAACAACTAATTATTCAATGAGAACGGGATAAAAATGAGATAGCATGAATTAGTCTCATTTTTGCATGGATAATAGTAAAATTAAGTGGACATGTTTTATGAAAAAGAAAGAAAGGAAGGGAGGGAAGGAGGAAAAGGAAAGAGATGCTGGATTATATTGGAACTGGTAGCTGTAAATAAGTGGAGCTAATTGAAATATGATTAGATGAAAGAGTGCCAATTTCAGATTATTGTTCATGACCATCCACAGTAGGGATTGCTTTTTTATTGGCAAAAAGTGTCCAGTTCTATTTTGGAAGGCACTACTTAAAGAAGGCTAGCCATGTTTTTTATGAGGATATATTTTCAAAATGTGCTTTGTAGGTAAATGAAGACAACTTTTTTAGCTTACCATATATAGCTGTAAATCATAATATACCATTTATTTTTGCTTTGAAAGTCCCTGCACATGTGATTATGAATATACTTAGTCTCATAACGTGATCATTCGGTCATTTCTGCTAGTTAATTTTTAAGTTGTTTGTCAAAGTGGTTGATAACTTGATATTGATTTTATTCTGTCCTAATGTCTCAGATTATGTGTTGGAAGGAAGTGAAGGAACACCTTTTGCAGGTTTGTAAGTTGGTGAATTTTGATTATCACCACTTCATGTTTTCAGATTTATTTTGGTGCCTTGTGATGATGAATGCCATGATTTATAATTTATGCTCAATATTGGTCTAATTATCAGGTGGATATTATTATGGGAAAATCAAGTTTCCTCCTGAATATCCATATAAACCTCCTGGAATCAGGTGATTTTTATTTCTATAGTACTCAATTTTCATATTTGCTTCTGCTCATCTTGTTGATTGGCATCTTGTCTAAATTCTATATGGTCAATCATGTAGCATGACTACACCTAATGGACGCTTCATCACACAGAAAAAGATCTGCTTGTCCATGAGTGACTGTAAGTTCTTTTATCTGTTGAATCAAGTCTTTGATTGGTTCACAAAATTTTAGGTATGGAAAGAGAAAATGAATGAGATTGTGATGGGAAGTGTTTTTTTTTTTTAATACCTCTGCATAAAAAGATAAGGAAAATGAGTAGTCATCGTTGAGCAATAACAACATTAGCATAATAAACATTGCATGAAACATTTATGTCGCCTTTTCTGCTATTCCCTTTTCTTCTCCCTGTCCATCATGATACCAAATATAGCCCAAGTCAAATAGTTTTGTGGGTTACCCATATTTTTCCAATTTATTGATTTTGTGGATTATGCTGCCTTTGCAGTTCATCCAGAAAGTTGGAATCCTATGTGGTCCGTATCAAGGTCAGACTGATTAGTTTCATGGATTTCCTTTATGTGATTTTGTATGTGTTTTTTCTTCAATGGCTGCTTGACTCATGGAATGTGGTTTTATGCTTATTCACCGGTGATTGTCATCTGAGGAGTATAGTTGACGTAGATTTCTGCTTGATTTTTTTTTTTTTTAACTGATTCTTCCAATATCTGTGTGAATGCAGCATACTTACGGGGCTTCTATCCTTCATGGTGAGTATCCTGTGGCTTTTTATATTAGTTAGAATTCTATTGTCTTCCGTGATGTATGCTTGTTTTCCACTAGCGAGTTCACTTTCACTTCCATCACTTTTGTGGGACACAAGCCTTCATTGAGCCAGGGCTAGCTCTTTCTATATATCAATTTGTTTTTATACATGTGTGTGTATTCAAATAATTGATACTTATTGATTTGTCCCGTAGCTAGTACCTTCTTGCGGGCATTTAACTCTTCTCTCTTGCAGATAGACAGCAGTCCAACGACTGGCAGCGTGAGCACTACTGCTGAAGAGAAGCAACGTTTAGCAAAATCTTCCCTTGCTTTCAATTGCAAGAAGTAAGTTATTCATACCAGCCATTCATGACAGAAAAGAAATGTCCATTTAATTGCCGTTTTGCTCTGAATTTTGATGAATCTAACTATTTTGCATGCAGTGCAACATTCAGGAAAATGTTCCCCGAGTATGTTGACAAGTACAACCAGCAGCGGCTTTCCGAGCAAGCTGCCTCTGAACAAACGGCATCTGAGGTGGCATCTCGTGACAAAAGTTCAGGGCCCATGTTGAGAAAAGTTACGGGGTCTACAGGAGAAGACATGAAAGTAGTAGATGAATTGAAAGAGGGGAGGAAAAACAGAAAGCAATCTTTACCCACATGGATGATGTTGTTGCTCTTCTCCATTTTTGGGCTTATAATGGCATTGCCTCTGCTTCAGCTGTGATCATGGACCACATAAGGATCTTTATGGGCGTGAATGTGGATCCATAAAGTGTCGTCCTTACTGGGTTTGATTCTATAAGCTACTTGCTTTTATTTTTTTGGTCATGACTAACATGAATTGTATAGGGAATTGATGGACGAGAAGGCTGCTTTCTTATGTGTGGGCTGATTTTACTCCTTTATGTCTTTGGTGCCAGCTTCTTGGTGGTAAATACCAAAAAAGTTGCATGCTTGTGATGTCCCTATGAATCCAGTTTGAGGTTGTCTTCTGGTCCTGTTCTTGTTTAAATGCTTTAGTTGTTGTGCAGTGTATGTGCATGCAATGATCACTTATGGCAGATTAAGAAGACTAAATTATGACTGTTGCGTGTGCATACGCTGCATAACTTTATGATATTTCCGAATTTCCCTTCTTTTTCTTCCTACGCGACTTCTTGTAGCAGATTGCCATTGTTCTCGAGGGATGGCCTAGACTATTACTATAGGGAAAGATATCTGATTTAACTTAGCGTAACATTAGTTTACCTTAAGTTTCTTTTGGTAATTGGTATGTACAAAATTTAGAAAAACTTAGAAAAGATAGAATCATTCCCATTCTCTCTCTAAACTGTTCCGTTTCCTTTAATTGCTCCTACGGATGCTCTGTTAATATTCTAATGAAAATATAATACAATTCACGTTGATTTGTCTATAGAGAATTTTTTGTGGTATATAATAGAAATTTATTTTCGATGCAGTTTGTGTTCTACACATAATTATGCAGTTTGCTTTAAATATAATTGATAACAAATCAGCAGCAAGATGGTAGCTTACAAAAGTTTTAATTTGAAATCCTCAACATCAAATTTATCTGTAGAAAGCTGATAGTGTGCTGGGTTTATCCTGGTTTGGAATATTAACTGCTATTATAATAATGAAATATTTATCTTAAAGGGATTTAAGCCTTTACCATGACTGAAAAAATTTAAACATTGATCTAATATTAACAGATAGGATTAGCGGAAATACCTATACTTAGAAAAAAAAAAAGATAAAAACTAGGATTAGCAAATAAAAAAATCGACAATGACAAAAAAAACAAGTTGAAATTTTGTAAATGTTGAAGAAATTTGTTGTCATTTACAAATTCAGATTTGTCAATACCAAATAAAATTGTGTTACCAAACCTAATTTGAAATTTGTAATTTTCAGTTTTTTTTTCTGTCATTCTCTCTCATGAAAAAAAAATAGACGAAAGCAATTACTCGAAAAATAGACGAAAGCAATTACTCACAAGTTAACCGGAGCCTCCGGGAAGTGTGGCATGTTTGTCGCGGCCATATGTTGAAGATATTTATTATAATAACAAATCAGCAGCAAGATGGTAGCTTACAAAAGTTTTAATTTGAAATCCTCAACATCAAATTTATCTGTAGAAAGCTGATAGTGTGCTGGGTTTATCCTGGTTTGGAATATTAACTGCTATTATAATAATGAAATATTTATCTTAAAGGGATTTAAGCCTTTACCATGACTGAAAAAATTTAAACATTGATCTAATATTAACAGATAGGATTAGCGGAAATACCTATACTTAGAAAAAAAAAAAGATAAAAACTAGGATTAGCAAATAAAAAAATCGACAATGACAAAAAAAACAAGTTGAAATTTTGTAAATGTTGAAGAAATTTGTTGTCATTTACAAATTCAGATTTGTCAATACCAAATAAAATTGTGTTACCAAACCTAATTTGAAATTTGTAATTTTCAGTTTTTTTTTCTGTCATTCTCTCTCATGAAAAAAAAATAGACGAAAGCAATTACTCGAAAAATAGACGAAAGCAATTACTCACAAGTTAACCGGAGCCTCCGGGAAGTGTGGCATGTTTGTCGCGGCCATATGTTGAAGATATTTATTACTGACAGATCCGAGGATCACGGATCCACCCCACAATCATGTCTCTAGTTTTACGTTTTCCTATTTTAAATTTAGGGTAAAGTATATATTTAATTTTTTAACTTTATATAAGGTTTTAATTTGGTTTTTTAATTTTTTAAAAAAATATTTTTAGTCTTTTAACTTCAAAATTGTTGGTCTTAAATGATTTTTTATAACAATCATAGTTTTGAATATTAAATTTAATATGCTAGTATTTAGTAATATTTATCAGCATTTAAAAGCTTAATATCATTATTTTTTATTAACAGTTTTGGGGTTAGAGGACTAAAAGTTTACTTTTTAAAATTAAGGGACCAAAATAAAATCTTGTATAAAATTAAAAGACTAAAAGTACATATTAGCCTTAAATTTAAAAAACACGAATTTTGGAACCATTTCCTAAAGCAAAAAATTGAACCCAATTAATTACACTGGGATAAAATTGGACGACTAAAGAGTACTTTTTAAATTTTGGGTGTACTTTTTGCTCAAAAAAAAAAAATTTTGGGTGTACTTTCGAAGATAATTCAGGATGCTTGTTGCATTTTTATCCTATTTTAATTTGAATTTTATAAACTCATTGTGCAATTCACATTTTAATAAAAATTAAAAATAATAATTTCTATCACAGGAATATTACTTTCTATTTGGCAGGGAACAGAAAAGGCAGAAACTCCGCATGTTCACCCACAAGACAAGATTATGCTCTTACGAGCCTGTTTTTTCCTCATTTTTTTTTTGGTCAGAAGAAATTTATATTATTGATTAAACCAAAGCATCCAAACGTTCAACCACAACAAAAAACAACTAAAAAACCATGGCCCATCCGCTGGAACACAGCCAAAAAATACGGAAAAAACTAAAACAATTAAGTAAAAGAAATTCTGCTTCAAGTTTTGCGCCTCCAGGCTACAATAACCCAATTTCTGTGAAGAGAATCCCACCATGAATATGGCTAGAAGGGATGGTTGTCTTCCGACTTGCTTTATGGAGCCCACACCCTTATGTGTCAAAGTTATCTTCCCAATTGCAGCATTAAAACTCTCTCTTTCAACAAGAGATGATGAATCATTCTGCAGATCCATGCAGACCTCTAGAACATGATACAATACAAAAAAATAGAGCCAATTGCACCCATTTATAATGTCCATATACAGAGCAAAATTGATGAATTCATAATTCCGAAATTAAGCATCAAATCTTGCATCTTACCCTTTCCCGGTTTCCCCCTTTAAAATTTAATTACTAGTTAAGGTCCAATTTTACTTTTAAAGTTTTTGTTCATAATGAGTATCTATAAGTTTTTTTTTTTAAGGCAATGTCACCTCAGAAGTAACCAAAACATAACGATATCGTCCTACTCTTAGACATTCTTATTTTTACAAACTAGTTTTTTTGAATTTCAATTCAAACACAATTCAACATATTCAATTTAGCTTCTACCTAACTTCACTATTCCATAAGTTACTTTTTCAATAAACTACTTTTTCAATCGCTGATTCTAACGGACACATCATCCTACTATTAGGAATTCTTAAATTTGACCATTAAAGTCTCCTTTTTGACCCACTATTGCTAATGTCTTCTTTCTTTTTCCCTGGAACTCATTCCCTGTTTCTTTCTTCCGTCGAAAGTGTCTTTCTCTGCAACCAAGGTGGTGCAACCCCTTCATCCCAACTCCTCCGTCAACTTATAGATCCAATGACAAGCATAATCCTCTGTCCTTTGACCCCCCAAGGACAAGCTCCTTCTTTCCTTGGGTCCATGCACGAGTAAGTTAGTTGGTTAGCAGGAAAAAAAAGAACTTAGGACTTAGGAAAAGGATATAGGATGGGACACACTTGATGTCAGCTACTTTCAAATGGATGTTCTATATATGCGAACGCCTGGTCGAGTCGTTTGTTATCCCAGAAACCAACTCCAGAATGTCGTCAGGTTTCAACGTCACTCCCAGCTGCAGCATGAACATGTAAACAATTATACTTGTATGGAAAACTGTGGCTATCCCTCGAAATTAAAAATTTTAATGGGTCTGATTTAAAAAATTTAAAAAGTGCGTTTGATTAATTTTTTCTACTCTTTTATTTCACTTTTTTTTAATTAACATTTTATAATCTCATTTTTAAAATTTTTAAATTGAGCTCATTAAAGTTTTTTTCTCTCCTCCTTTCTACTCCATTTCCCTCATACCAGACATCCCTAAAAATTCATTTTTTTTCTTTTTTGAGTAAACCACACATCCCTAAAAATTCATTCTTTTTATATTAAATTCACAGGTTCAGAAAGTATTTAAGCTTGGCAGATATTTATGATCTTTTTTGGAGGCTTTATAAACATGACTGAACAAGAAGTTAAACATTAATGTTATATTAAAAATAGGATTAACAGAACAAATAAATTAAAAACTTAGGATTAACAAATTAAAAAAAAAAGACTAAAGCAATAAAAATTAGCCGAAGCCTCCGGGAAATGCGGCATGTTTATCGCGGCTACGCGTTGAAGACCCCCCCCCAAAAAAAAAGAATTTAAAAAACTTTTGGATTTTGGAACCATCCCCTAAAAAGAAGATAATTCCAAGGGGAATTGATGATCTAATCTGAATCTGAATGTTTTAGGGTTAATGTTTTTTTTTAATCTTAAAGAAGCAATTACATTATTTGTGAGTATTTGTTTGGTGGAAGTTCAAATAAATGAAATGAAATTTAAACAATCTAAAACTAGTTTTTTAAAGCAACACACTGATGAATATGCTTATAATAATTTAGTCTCATAAAGGCTTTGATTCCAGATCACTATAAATTTAGTCAAGAACTTCACCCAAAAAAAAAAAATTTAGTCAAGAAAGGTGGGGGAAAATAAGGAACTAAAAGATTTTTTTTTTTTTAAAACCAAAGATAAAGTGTAGTGGTGGGGTGATTAAGTGTGGCCCCATAAGAGGGGGAAAAATTTTGTCATAAATTCTTAAGCATGTTTAGTTACCTTTCAGGTTTTCCTCTTCAAACGTTACTTTCAAATTTGTTGCCTTTCATATAAATCAGTATAATCTTCCAGGTGTTTGTTGCATCTGATCTAGATCTTTTTGTCTTTCCCACTTACTCATTAAATTATTCACTTAATGGGTATTGAAACACTTTAATTTTATCTTTCTCAAAAATCCTTAATTAGTCTTATGGGGTGTTTGGATAGAAACCAAACCATAGTTTCAGAAGTGCTTTTACGGTTTATGAAGTAAATATGTGGAGGAATTTGTCTCGTTTTGCATAAAAGTGCTTCTCAAACCATGGTTTGGAGGTTGCCAAACACCCTCTAAGGAATGCATTAGTTAAAAAAAAAAGAATCTAACAAAAAGTTTAACGTTGAAAATATGAAAGCTCATCCTGAATTTACCAAAAATTGAAGTGTTCCATGATGTCTGATAAAAATACATCTGTATGGAATTAGTAATTATTACAAGATTAATCTACCTTCCAATTCACGTCACAGGCAAATTTGAACAAGAGATTGTATAATGCCATTTCAGCTACTAACAGTTTGTCATATCTCTATCCAAGTGGCATTGTGATTATGATATCTATCAGAAGAGTGGTTAAAATTTGCCTTTTATGATTCAAGCTAAGAGCTACCAAATCCAACCCTAAAGAAGATTTATTTGCTGTAAAGTTTTCACGGGCCATTATTTTCCATTTCAGATCTCTTCACTTTCTTGTCCCCTCTCACCCCCTCTTTAATGCCCTTCTGTTTTTACAATGACATATTCTGAAATATTCTTACCAAGCTTTCTTCTTTTCTTATCCTCCATAGCTCTTCTGCGTCTCATTTTTTTTTTTCCCTGCTTCTTTCCGTAGTTTTGAATTAATATCTTCATAGATATCTTTGAGGTCAATGATGATGAAATCTCCAACACACTCAAGATCTGAGGCAAGTTATTATGATGCATACGGATTTGATCTGCAGGAGGACTTTTCTCAGGTACCATTCTTTCTTTTTGGTCAGTTTCTTTTCCCGGTTTCTACTCTAAACTTTTTCTTGAAGTGAAAGCAAGTATTTTTCATTTTTATTTTTGGTAATTTCTGAGTTTCTGTTGGTTTGATTAAGTTCTTGGAGGAAGCAAGAAAATATGAGATGACAGAAGCAAAAGTGAAGAGCTCATCATCAGTGCACCCAGAAGGTGGAAGAGGAGGGAAGAGAGAAGAATCAGCAGATAAAGAGAGAGAGAAGAAAAGTGGGAAGAAGAAAAAATCATGGAAAAGTTCAGTGATTTCATGGTGGAAAGCTGAGAGGAAAAGCAAGCCCACCAACAAGGACATTAGTTCTGAAGAACCGAAGGGTTCTTGTGGGAAAAAACAAAGTCATGTCTCTGGTCCAATATACAACACTGGAAAAGCTTCTAATGCAAAGAAACAATGGCGTCCCCATTCTGGTCCTCTCATCACAAGTCTCTTCTCTAAATCTTCAAAGAAAGAGAATCACAACGAGATTCCCTACGTGTGTCTCCAGCAAAACCAGCAACCAAATAGTCCTCAAGATTTTCACATTCAGAACTATGGTCCCCTCTATATCGTCTCTTGAATCTGCACATCTGAATTTGAAATTCTTAGGTAAGATATGGTGCTTCAAAGCCTACATGTTAGGATGCTGAAACTAATTCCTGAGACATGGCTTGAATGAAGACAACATATCCAACTTTTGAGTTTCTCTATCAGAAATTCACATTCTTCTAACAGAATTTTCCATTTTCTACTGCAAATTGAGTGTGAATGAATGTATTGGCTGTTGAAATGAGAATCATGTTTAATATGGTCATATTCAACATCGTATGGCTTTTTTTAAACTATATTTGAGCCTTGTGCCATTTGAAGTTATTGAGATTGTAGTATCTTCGTCACGTTTAAGATTTTCTATGATCCATAGTCATACCAAGGGATGGGTTACATGGAGACTCGAGAAAGGAGCAACCCCGGTGAAAAGCACGAGCCTCCTAACTGTTTAGTGGGAGCAGCTTTTGGGAAAAAGAGAAGCATGGGTGAGGGAGAAGGATTTAAATTTTACCTCCCACCATCAAAACAGAGTATTGAGTGAATAATTCTGTCTGGATTGAAAAGTTTAAGGGAAAATCTCAAAAAAGTGACTATTGAATTTCAAAATGACAAATCAGAAATTATTACAAAAATATGTTGTTATTTGCTTTGTAAGTGTAGTCATTTTCTTTATAAGTGTAGTAACCAATACTGATTTGTCATTTTGAAATTCAACAGTCACTTTTTTTAGATTTTCCCAAAGTTTAAAGGAGGCAAGAGATTTGTTTTTGTAATCTTTGTTTAATAGTTTCTATGCCCTTTTGATGGAACTAAGAGGGAAATCATTTCTCTTTTTCAAAATCACTCTTCTTATTTTATTCTTTTCTGTTCAGTATAATCAACTAACAATTTAAAAATACATGCTGATTATCTAGTAGTCATTGACTTTGCAGCTCAATTGAATAAGTCCGACTTGTCTGCTATTCTATCTTCGCTTCTCCACTGTTTCTCTTTGGTTTTTTTTTTTGCCAGTTTCCTTCTGTCTTTATTTATTTATCTTTAGATAATACAACAGAGAGGCTTCCCACCAATTGAATCACTCTTAAATTGAAATAAAAGGCTACGTTTGCACGCTAAAAGCACCTGTTGCCCAAAACATAATCTCTTCACTTTATTCTATGTAACTTCAATTTCAATGCTCTTGCATGGACTGCAATTTGTGTTGTGCAATATTCGATCCTATATCGTGATTTTTTAACTTAAGTATGAAGTATGAATTAAATGTGTTTAACCAGAGTCATTACGACCAGAGATTAGATGAGTCAACCAACAGTTTGATTTGTGACGCAAGGATGTAAAATAAAGTGGTAAGCCAAATGGAAAAATCAAATCAATGATACAACAAAATTTACCATAAGGGATAATTTCACCCTTGTAAGACAGAAATTTTCTTTCCTTTTCTTTTTAACAATATAAACACTTCAAGCAATCTTTTTTAATCTGCTTGAAGCATTATGATACAAATATGTTCTATAAGAACATGTTACAATTACAAAGAGTATGCATCCTTAGAAAGACAATGAGTCAACTTTGAGAGAGCTCTTCCTGTCTCTCTGCAACAGGAACCCTTACCTTTCCTCCTAAGGACAAGAAATCAAGCACCTGTCCGACACTAATTCTTCACCTTGACCCCTCAATTAGCATAATCTACAAGCCAATTCCTGCTCCAGGGCATATATATAGTAAAAGAATAATGAATATACCAATCATCAATTAATTTCTAGCTAGCTCTGTCCTCTCCCTGCTTGTTCCACATCCACAGAACTCGGGCTACGAGGACTGAACTTCATGCTTAACATCCTCTTGAACGACTTGAGCCTAGATGTCATTGGAGACTTCAACTCATCGTCAGCACACCTGCTAGTAGAAGGTAAAGATGATGGATTCGTTTCTCTTGGTATGTCAATCACCAACATTCCATTACGTCTGTTGTTATTGTTACTACTGCTACAACTATCTGCTGCCGCTGATGATGAGGACGAAGGTGCCTCAATAGAAGGACCTGCGCCAATAGAATTTACTTGGATCTGATTTCCCCAAATCAAAACATTTGTGGGGAAATTTGCAGACTCTAAATCAACCTCGCTCATAGAGTCTGAACTTTCTGAGTCTGATGACGGACTATAGATGTCTGAGGTATTTCCTCGAACACCTGAACTATTATTGGATTCAGAGGACTCAGAAGCGACCGGGTTCCTACAAAGTGGACAGGTAGAATGGGATTGGAACCACATATCAATGCATTCTACGTGAAACCCATGATTGCATTTGGGTAATATCCTTGCTTTTTCTCCATGAGCGACCTCGCTGAGACAAACTGCACACTCCAAACCATCTTTGAAATCCTCTGGTCGGTATACCAATACAGGCAAGGACCTAAGGACTTCTGGGTCAAGCCCACGTCTCTGGACGCCGTAAATAGCGGGGTCTTGTCCTGGTGCGAAGACAAAGCGGCGGCGGCGGCGGCTGCTGCGGCGGCGGGTGGTGGTGCTGCTCCCTTCAGTGTTCCACCAGAACCATTTGGCGTAGAGATGGAGGAAACAGACAACCACAATCACGAAAAAGAGGAATATTATAGCTACGACCATGATCTTTCCAGTTAATTCCAGCCCCGGAGAGTCACGCGAATTGTCATCTGTTCCTGCCCAACCACCCATGGATCCAGAAACACACGCAGAAATTCAAAACCCAGATTATACCTCACCCTGAAATCTCAGAATACTGCAGAAGAAAGAAATCCAGAGAAGGTAGTGGTAGAGAGGAGAAAGGAGGTTTAAATGCAGGAATGAGAATGGAAGTCAATGAATTTGAGGAAGCGATAAGCGAGGAGAAGAGGAAATTGTATTTGAACTTGAATGGAGAGGAGACTTGAAGATTATATAAGTAAAAGGGGAGGAAGAGGAAGACAAATACGTAAGAGAAATTAAAGGAAGAACCGAAGAACCTCCACATTGGACTGGAGACTTTGGACTTCAAACTAGTTAACTGCGCAAGCAACCAAAGATAGAAAAGAAATACAAACACGCCGTTGGAAATATTCAAACCGTCTCGAGTAGCTTTCTGCGAAGTAATTACATGGAAAGCTGCAAAAAACGAAGAAGTAATTGTATGGAAAATTCGGCAACCAACATATATATATATATATATATATATATATATATATTTCTCACTAATCAACAATCATTTTTTCATAATCATCAATTAATTTAGAATTTATATGAAATTTCCAACACGAGGATTATTATCATATAAAATTTCACATAGGAGTTATCTGTATTTGCAAAAATCACTCCTAAGTCTCATACAGCTACACCGTAAAATAATTTTAAGATCTTTAAAAATTATTAAATTACTGCGGAGTTTCAATTATAAATAAGTTTCAGTTATAGATTGTTAAATTCAATGAATAAATACACGCAAAACTATATAATTGTCAATTTCATAACATTAAGCGTTAATTTCTGACATAAAATTGTTAATTCTGATAGATTAATTGTCAACAGTGTTATTCATATAAAGTTGTTAATTTCCTATACTAAATTTTTTAATGTTAAAGTTTAGTACGACATTTGTTAATCTTAAAGTTTAGCATGACATTAACCTTATCATTAACAACTTTTGTATATAAAATTAATAACTTTAATATAGAAAATTTGTTGTCTTTGTAAATATATAGTATTTTTTTAAAGCAAAAAATAAAATATTCTCTCATTTTAGGGAAAAGAACTAAATGAGTTTTATCTCAAGACTTATTGATTATTATTGTGTGTTTCAAGATTTAAAAAATTATTTATAGAGACACTTATACGAGTAATAAGATTTTTACATCGATTAATAATTTTAATTTACATCCTCGTAAAGCTAGCATGGGTTGCATCTTTATCAACTAGACTAACCTTTTTTAATAAAACAAAATATTCATTTTGATTAATTGCAATTTAACCTTAACTTAGTTTTCATTAATATTTTAATTTACATGGATTAATTGTAGATCTGTTCTTTTTTTGACTTGTGTTAGCAGATGCTGATGCAAAAAAGGGGCAGCTTTTCGTCAATAAAAAAGAAAAACTAAAGTCAATGCTTATATGGAATAGTGGCGAAGATCACTTTGACTGGCATGAATAAAAGTAATAATAAGAAAATTATTTATATAAATCCATGACATAATTTAAGAAGTTAATATATAATTTAGAAAAAAACTTAATTTTCAAAGCAAATTCCGAGTTGGTCAGTAACAGTAAAACAAAATTAAATTAATCTACTCAAACGCTGTTGACCGCAAAAAAAAAAAAAAAAAATCCAATGTCAAAATATAAGTGCTTGCTGGCTACCTGTCCACGCCCTCCTCTGTGGACTCTTTGCCATACTCGTCATTGCTTATTAATTAAGTATAAAACTATAAATATTTTCATTAAAATTATAATTTTTTATTTTTAAAAGGGGTTAATATAATTTTGTCCTTCAAATTTGTCTTCATTTTGGTTTTGGCTCCTCAAGTTTCAAATTTTAGATTTTGATCCTTCAAGTTTTTTTTATTTAAATTACTGGTCTTTATAAATCAATAAAAATTTAGACTATTTTGCCTTTAGAATGACCAAAACATATGTTTTGAAATTTAAGGGATTAAAACCAAAATGAAGACAAATCTGAAAGACCAAAGATTATATTAATCCTTTTAAAAGTTATATAAAAGATTCTATGAAAATAGAAATTTATTTCATATTTGGTTTAATTTTTTTTTTAATTTATAAACAAAATATACTTAATTGAATCTTTATTTAAGATATATTTTTAATGGAAATATACATATACATATACATGTAGGATAATTCATTTGAACAAGAAAACGGAAATTTTTATATAATTTTTGACTAAAATTATTCTGTATAATTACCTCTTAATTGAAAAAAGAGGCTGCTAGTTGATTTTTTTTTTTTTAAAAAAAAGGCGGCTGCTATTTATGCGGGATAATGAAACTTCTTGTATCTTTCTTCGGGGACACGGCCACCAGCTTCAAGTTCAAGCTCTGAAAGTGACTGATATTTGATATTCTGTTTAACAACAACAACAATAATACAAGATTCAAATTAAAATACTAAAATGGTATCATGTTGCATAGAAGCAAATTAAATACTACCTCCGGTCCTAATTATAAGACCCAGTTGACTTATTTGAGGAGATTAAGGAAGTAAGTTAAGTTAGTTATTTGTAATAAATAAGTGTTGTCATTCCTAAAATATCCTTACTAATTAAGTGTACTGGCTAGAATTATCATTACTAGAAGGACTATCTTGGAAAAAAATTCATAAATATGAGAGAAAAAATAGATTGGGGTCTTATAATTAGGACCAAACAAAAAGTTAAACGGGGTCTTATATTAAGGACCGGAGGTAGTATGTTACTTGTATGTTCTTGTATATATGTGTGTATTTGGAATCTTTTGAATGACCTCTTTCTTTGCCTTGATGCTCAAGAAATAGTAGCCACGCAAGCCAAGCCAACTCCATGCTGCGTAAAATTTTTCTCAAGAAAAGATAATTCAAAACTATAAATTCGCTTGACTTGTTTATATATATATATATATATATATGGATTGACGATTGAATATTTAAATAATAAATTATGATCGAATTTATTTAATAAATTAAAATAATCTTGCTGAGTTGAATAGTGTGGTGACTTAACTGCTTATTGATCTCCAAAATCCAGAAGTTACCTCACTACTTATCAAAAGCAAAAAAACCAAAAAGTGATGGTAAAATTACTGAGAAGTCTTGCAAGCATGAATGAAAAATCCACCTAATATCTCTCAACATATATAAATCAATATATATAACTCATAAATATAGCTACTAAAGTATACATTTTTTGAAGTACCTAAATTTCATCAACATCATCTTGAAATGTTCAGCTATAATTTGAAATTAGAAGTACACCTCCTATAAATGATATATATTGCTCCGTATCATTTGATTTTATATTTATAAGTCATATCATTAATTTTTTTTAAACATAAGTGTACAGTTTTACCTTTTATGTATTATTGTAGATTGTTATATATTAAATACGAGTAGAGTTAAAATGTTGTTAAATCTTAAGACATATAGAGTTGATATAATTTTTTTTTGTTTTGTTTTACTTTCGGTGAGGTACTAGAAATGATTTATATATTAATAAGACTAAAGAAGGAGTATATATGTGTGTGTCCTATAATGCTCAAATTTCACCCCCACTCAGATAGGCATATAACAAAAATATTCTGTGGAGAGTTCGTTAAACAAGATGGGATGGATTAGTTATATATATATATATATATTTTTTTTTTTAATACAATGGATTAGTTATAAGTTAACTATATAGAAAGAAACCAAGGAATGTGTGTGTATACAAAACATAGTCATGAACAGGGAGAGAGCTCAATGAACAGAAAGGAAATTGTGAGAGATCTTAGGTTGAAGGAAATAAGGAAAGCCCTGAAGGATAGAAACCAGAAAGTCTCTTAACTTGCGATAATAACGAAGAAAAGAGTGATCTTTATGAGTGATTATGGATCTGCAAAGAGGGCAAGAGGAATGGTTGTTGAGCCAAACAGCAATACAATCAGAATGGAACCTGTGGTTGCAGACTGGTAAGCCTCTAATCTTATCTCCACGATTCACTTGGCTCAAACACACTACACAGTAATTATCAGTTTCAGAAGTTGCAGAAGAAGGATGGTGATGAAGAAGAAGGCGTTTGATGATGAGGAGGAGGAAGAAGACGGACATGGCTGCTGTGAGTAAGAAGACGATGCTGAACATGTTTCCGTATGTGTTCTTTTAATAATAACTTGCAGGAGTAGGTCGAAGATCTGATATAGAAGGAAGTTTATATCAGAAAACTAACTAGGCTTGCAAGTTTGAATTGGTTCTTGTTCTTTCTTTGAAGCATTATTCGTCTTTTTAACTTTGAGGCATTATTGATTGGTTTAAGCGAATTCAAGTCTGGTTACGTAAAATTCAAAATGAGTCCCAATATTCATTTTGCTGTGCCCAATCCGTTTTTGTCATCATCTCAATACGTAGGTTGTCATCATTCTCTTTCTCACACACGCACATTTTAACTCGCTTTGATCCCATTATATTGGATTCTTTCATCCTTAATTAATACTCCTCCGGTCCTTAATATAAGACCCATTTAACTAATTTGATTAGATTAAGGAAGTTAGGTAAGTTAGTTAATTATAAGAAAAGTGACACATTTTTCCCAAAATACCATAATCATCTTTCTTAATACCTCATCTCTCTCTTCTACTTGATTATGGATGAGAGAGTATTTATAGGGGTAATTTGGAGAAAATTGATAAATATGATAAATGGGTCTTATATTTAGGACCAAAACCAACTCAAAAATTAGGTCCTATATTAAGGACCGGAGGAGTACTTCTCTGGTTCTTAATATAAGACCCATTTAACTAGTTTGATTAGATTAAGGAAGTTAGGTAAGTTAGTTAATTATAAGAAATGTGAGACGTTTTTTCTGAAATACCATAATCATCTTTCTTAATATCCCCTCTTTCTCTTCTACTTGATTATGGTTGAAGAAGTATTCATAGGGGTAATTTAGAGAAAATTAATAAATATGAAAAATGTGTATTATATTTAGGACTAAAATTATTTCAACAATTGGGTCCTATATTAAGAATCAGAGGAGTATTATAAATTTTTCTTGTCTAATATATGACTTTTTGTCCTAATTATAAGACTTTATTTACAATTTACAACGAGATATTATAATTAAGACTGAAGGTAGTATTAGTTTTTTCCTAAATATTTTTATAACTTTGATATTCCGTAACTAACTAACTGACTAATAGTACTTCTCTAGTCCTTAATATAGGACCCAATTCTTGAGTTGGTTTTGGTCCTAAATATAATACCCATTTATTATATTTATCAATTTTCTCTAAATTACCCCTATGGATACTCTCTCAACCATAATCAAATAGAAGAGGGAGGAGGGTATTAAGAAAGATGATTATGGGTTTTAGAAAAAATGTGTCACTTTCTTACAATTAACTAACTTACCTAACTTCCTTAATTTAATCAAATTGGTTAAATGGGTCTTATATTAAGGACCAGAGGAGTATTATTTAATTGATTAACTTCGTTAAGCTCTTAACATGTCCTTATAATAAGGGTAGGAGAGATATATTTTATCATCAGTTAACATTTTATGTTTGAAAATAATTAATCGATTTTTGGCCCAAAAAAAAAAACTAATCGATATAATGGAAGCCTCCTTAATAGCTATGTGCAATAAATAAGAAATCTTTTTTAAAAAAATTATAAATCTGAAACACAAAATAAATTGAAATATTATATTTAAGATTAAAACAAACCTTTGTCTAAATATTGAAATATTATATTTAAGATTAAAACAAACCTTTGTCTAACTTCTATATTTAGAAGCATATATATATATATATAAATATATAGCATGCACACATGCATGTATGTGAGAAAAATAACATTAATGGATCGAACTTACAACACGACTAACTCATGAATTTGAATACATATGCATGTGTGAACATAAAAATACTATGTAACTCGAATTATAGGAATAGTATATTTAAATGGATTGTTATACATGATGCATGAATTATATATAACTTTAAGGAAAATACGTGTGGTGTATTTATCTAATTTTTAACGATAGGCATTATGTATCATTGAAAGAAAAGTAATGAATGAAGCAAGTTGTTGAAAGAAACTCGAAGAGGAATCCAATTTGGTGGAGTTAGGTAAATGGCTTGGGAATCTTTCAAAGCAAAGACTCTTCTCCAGTCAAACGCCTCAGTCTTGGTCTCATTAATTTTGTTTTTTTTTTTTGGCCAAAAGTCTTGGTCTCGTTAATTTATGTTCACAAAATATTGAGAGTCTTCCTCCTTCGTCTTGTGCTTATTATTATCACATGCAATTAATGCTATTCCCAAATTTCAACGCCCGATGCTCTTTCTCACGTCTCATTTCGTGCCCCCCACGTTGCCCCCACTTTTAATCAACTTATTATTGAACCCGTTTAGAACAGTTTATAAGTAGTTTTTAATTTAAGGAATACGAGATAAGTATATGATAGGAATTTTGTCTCGATTTACTTAAAATGTGTTTATAGAAAATTTCTACCATGATCCTAAACAAGCACATTATCATTTAAAAAGGTTTGAATATAATACCAATTTCCAAGTTTCATGCGTACTAACTCCTTAAATATAAAAACTAGTTAACTCATTTGAATGGATTAAAAAAATAAATTAATTTAATTATTTGTAATAAATAGATGTTGTCTTTCTTAAAATATCTTTGCTAATCAAATTTATTGACTAAATCTATTATTATTAGAAGGACTGTCTTGAAAAAAAATAAATATAATAGACAAAATAAAACAGGATCTTATATTTGAAATAAATAAATAAATATAATACACAAAACAAAATAAAAATCTTATATTTAGAATCAAAATAAAAATTAAATGAGATTTTATATTAAAAACAGGAGGCAGTATGTTATTAAGATTTTATATGCATAGGTTTTTACCGATCACAATATGTGTAGTGAAGGCAAAGAATAAAATAAATAAACAAATAAAATTTCTTGCACGCGATACACGCGTAAGTTTTCAATGAGTTGTAGCGTATATCTTAATTCTTAAAAGCCAAAATTAATTAAAAAGATAATACTCTTCTAGTTCTTAATATAGGACCTAATTGTTAAGTTGGTTTTGTTCCTAAATATAAGACTTATTTATCATATTTATCAATTTTCTTTAAATTACCCCTATGGACACTCTCTCAACCATAATCAAGTAGAAGAGGGAGATTAGATATTAAGAAAGATGATTGTGGTGTTTTAGGAAAAACGTGTCATATTTTTATAATTAACTAACTTACCTAACTTCCTTAATCTAATCAAATTAGTTAAATAGATTTTATATTAAAGATCGGAAGATTAATGCAGCATAATTTAGCATTCAACTTACCCTATGATTTCGGCCAAAAAAAAAAAACTTACCCTATGATTCTTAGTATAACATAAGTGATGATTATATGACTCTGACGTTTGACATTCATTCTCTATATATATATGTTTTATAAATTTAGTTCGGGTCAATGAAGGTCATTTTTTGTAGAATGCGTACAAAATATATAAAATAGTTTATACTCATGATTACCATCACGTTCTTGTCATAAATTTTGTGATTAAGACATTACAGATGTATAATTTAGATTACCATATAATTATTTTTAAATTCCATACTATCATTATAATATTATATGGAGAACGTTGGCCAAAAAAAAAATTATGGAGAACTATGTACTTACTATATCTTAATCATTCCCATGGAATTCCAAACTACGTGAGAAAGTGTTGATCAACATAACATATAAAAATCTGCATAACCCGACCAATACATATTGATCCAATTGGTAAAGATTTGTTAACGTGAGAATCTTATTATTGATAATTTTCCTTCATATAAATAATCTAGCCATTCATAAATCATGAATATTGTACACCTCTTTTTCAGCTCTCTTCAATTTCATTCTTTTACCTTTCAATCTTTCTCACATACTCATATTATTAGGTTTCATACAACCTTTTTTCCCCCCTTCAATTTTCTTTTATATTTTCTCAGGGATTAATTTCAAAAAAATTAATTCGTTATTTTCCCCGTGTGGAAAAAAATTTGCACATGTATAGTTACCTAAAAGGATCTTGAATTGTTGGCAAAAAAAAAAAAATCTTGAATTAGTTCTCAACAAAAATCAGTTTTAGTGAGCCAACAAATATTGGTTCAAGCAATCTATAATTATCTTTGTAATTATTCTTTAAATCTGGAGGCACGTCTTAGAATGTGTTTAGGTAACTTCAAAAGCACTTTTATGTAAATCAAGATAAGTTTTTTCACATATTTATATCGTATACCATAAAAGTATTTTTAAAACTATAGTTTTAGTTTTATCCGAACACTTTCTTAATATGATAGGCTCCTGAATCCCAACTTAGCTAAACTTATTTATTCGAAAAAAAGGAAAAAAGCTTTAGCGGAGAAGTCAAGTCTCAGCATCTTAAAGATTTTCTTTTTCGTTGTGTGGCTTGAACGAGACCGGCCTCTAAGATATTTCTTAAAGCCCATGATAAGGTCCAATTTATGCTGAACATTTCGATCTTGCGGGCTTCCTATGTCTAGTTGTTTTCTTGTAAATCGTTATCCAACCTCCCATCGAGGCCGGTGGTGCTTCAGCTTCGCTGATTTACATCGGCTCTTTCCCGACTCACTCAGGAATTGCCACCGCCACAGTGGAGCATTTCAGAGAGGAATAGAAGAACTGAAATTATATCTTCATCCACTCATGCCGTTTACTTGTATATTATTTGAACTGTGACTGAATGAGCTCCCATGCCTTTATTAGGTACTCTCCTCTCCCCTCTCTCCATGTGGTTTTCTCTTCCAAATTTTTCTTTGATTGGCTCTTCATTCCTTGATTTGGTTCTAGTCTTTTTCTTTTTGCTCTTTGTCTTGTAATTACCGAGGATTGGATGGCTGTTAAATTGTACGGAAGACCCGCTAAATATATGTTATTATAACGCCAACGTCATTGGATTAGACTTTCTTGCTGGTTCAATTCCACCCCTACTTCAAAAAGTTTCCGTTCTTTCAGTGGAAGTGAATGATCAATTGCTCGTGAAAATTTTAACACCTCAAGCAAGAATGTGTGTGGGTGTGTGGCTTATGCGTTCGTTGATGTTACTACTGATTACTGTTCTCTAAATTCTGTCAGCAGAGATTGCAAATGCACATCCCTCTTTCCAGTACTCTCCTTGTTCATTGGGGTCGCAGAATAGTTCTTATTATAGATTAGCATCATTTTCCGTTACCTTTGGTAATGAGCAGAGAGTTCGTTATGGTTGGAAATCCCTTCACAAACTTGGAAAGTTAAACTTCAATGTGGGATGTGTTGAGCTGCGAAAAAGCAGGCTACTGATAAAGGCGGTTGCTACTCTTGAACCAAAGGGGTTTGCTGCAAACGAAGATAAATGCTTGGGTCCCAAGGATTCAGATCTGGGTCTAAATTCTAATGCACCAGGACCTTTGCACGAATCTTCTAATGAAGAATCTAAAGAACCTGATGAGAGAGAGAAGTTGAGAAGAATGAGAATTTCAAAAGCAAATAAAGGGAGCATACCGTGGAATAAAGGCAGAAAGCACAGTCCTGGTAACAAATTCACATTGTCCTTCCTTTGCTTTCCTGTTACTTTGGTTTCTATTCCATGATGTTCTAAGATTAGCTCAAATGTTAAAATTCTGAGCAGAGACTTTGCAGAAAATCAAGGAAAGAACAAGGCTTGCAATGCAGAATCCTAAGGTGATGTCATGTAAGAATATCTTAATGTCTTTGCTGATGAAGATTACCATATTAAGCGATATAGCATCCATACTATTGTAATATACTAATATTAATGGATTAATCTACTTTTGTTGTAGAATCACTTATCTCATTTACTGATATACTTTTTTGTATCTTAACTGATATCTCTTTCTGGAAGAAACTGCAAACGACTGAAGCTGGAGGAAACATAAGTTTGATTTCTCGTATTCTTAACTATATCATTCCACACGTATTAACATATTATAATCTTATAAGCGGTACTACTTTTTGATAATTTAAGTTATATCTTATAACTGTGCTCTGCCTTGACCTTGCTAGCCAGATTTAGCATCCAACATTAAAAAAATAAAATATTTTCTCTTGGTGTTATTAAACGCATTCTTCGTTATAACTTTAATGGCCATTCTTAGTGGGTTTCGTGGTGGCATGATCAGGATTAAATAACTTATCTCTTATGCATGAGTTGGTTAAGATCATTTCTCTTGTAACTAATCTATGCAACAAAATTTGGTAATGCAGGTCAGAATGAAGTTGGTTAAATTTGGGCATGCGCAGACGTGAGTATATGCCTTCCTGTGAATGTTACTATTAACTGATTGTCATTCTAGCAAGCAGAAAGATGTCTGCCTATCGTCTTTCAATATTGAGATGAATACTGCATACTAGTTTATTACTTCTTATCCTCCCACCAATTTCAATTAATTCAACCATCTTTATTGATTGAACAGTGCAGAAACAAGAATGAAAATAGGTGCTGGAGTGAAAAAGAGATGGGACAGGAGGCATAGAAAGAAATTGATGCAGGAAACTTGCCACTTTGAGTGGCAGAATTTAATCGCAAAAGCTTCAAGACAAGGCTATGCTGGTGAGGATGAGCTGCAATGGAATTCCTATGAGACCCTGAATGAACAGCTGAAACAGGAGTGGCTAGAGATTGTCAAACAAAGGAATGCAGTGCCAAAGGCAAAAGGCAATAGAAGTGCACCCAAGTCCCTTGAGCAGAGAAGGAAAATTGCTGAAGCCATCTCTACTAAATGGGCTGATCCTGTAAGTGTATAATTTAATAGCTGACTTTGCATGGTTTGGTTTCCCTTTACCTCATCCCCCCCCCCCACCCCAATTTTGTTCAATAAGATAGCACCCTATAGCTAAACCTTGTAACTTTGGTTGTTGACATGGACATTCCAAATTTTGCTTTTTAAGTTTCAACTTAGTCATCTCAGTTGGAATCCTCACCTTGATTCCGTGCCAACTTATGTTGACTGTCAATCAGGAATACCGTGAAAGGGTGTGTTCTGCATTGGCTAAGTATCATGGCACTGAAATTGGAGCTGAAAGGAAATCAAGAAGACCAAGTGGTGATAGTACACATTCCACAAGAAGGAACCCTATAAAGAAAAGTTTTACTGATACTACTATTTCGGAGGGTGAAACTAGAATTCTTGATAAGACGAGGTGGAAAAGAAGTAGATCTCCAGTCTACAAAGATCCTTTGGCGAGTTCTAAGCTTGAGATGATAAAGAATATCAGAGCACAGAGAGCTGTTACAGAAACCAAACATACTGAAGCCATTGAACGAGCAAGGTAGACTTACTTTTTACCTCTAGGTTACTTAAACTTCTGTTGAACTTTCCTTTTCTCTTTATTGATTTACTACTTTGGCTCGGCATTGCGTGAATTTCCATCTTGCTTGTCAGTGTCTTCTGAGATGGTTCACCTGTGTTACTGTCAATATTTACCCTATCATAAATCCAATGTTATTTCATTCGGTTCTCAGTTATGTTGCGACAAATATGACTTTAGGTACACAAGCAAAGCCCATTTCTTTGTCTAGGTTAATCACCTCTTGTTTTCATGACCATACTGAACGCATTGAACATTGGTTGTTTCTGTTTTGTTATTGAAATTAGCTCATTAAATTGCAGCTTTATTTCATTACCATGTAAGTAGCTTGTACAAATTCGTTTAACTATTCGTAAATTTGCAGATTATTGATTGCTGAAGCTGAAAAGGCTGCTAAAGCACTTGAGGAGGCTGCCACCAAGAGTTCCACTGCTCAGGCTTCACTCATAGAAACCAGAAAGCTTATAGCTGAGGCTATTCAATCACTTGAATCCATTGACACCCAACAGATAACTGAGAGTAATGGTTCATGTATGTCTTTGAGTCAGGTTGATGAGGAAAAAGGTAAGGCACTTGAAGTTCCAAACCAGTCAGATATGGGCCAAATAAACGGACACGAAACATTATTAACAAGAGACAAGTTCGAAGATATTCACGGATTTTCCTTGCAGAAGTTACCTAATGGTTCCAATGGCTGCTTCTCTTCGCCTCTTGGTTTCGACAGCCATGTATCAGAAAAGGGTCAAAGTATCAAATCGCGAACCAATCCCTCTCCAACCATGGAGGAAATGCAGCCCCTTAAAGATGACGCACCATCTAGATCACCTACTGTGACTAAAAAGTGGGTTCGTGGAAGGCTTGTTGTAGTGAAAGAAGCTCAGTAAAATTGATAGAGGGAGCTTCGCTCAATTTTCAAACATGATTTAGTGTAGTATCAAAGTGTTGGCCATATGCTATAGAGGTGATCGTTAATACAAAAGTATCCTTTCACTCCAGCAATATGATTTTAATGTGTTTATATGCTCAACGTGACTTAGTTTAGTATCACAGTCTTCTATGTAACTTGGATGATACACAGCGTTTAAATATTGGTTTTTGATGTGTTTCTATGCTCATGGCAATGAGGCTTAAGACAGGCCGAAAAAGACAATAAGATGTCATCACTCAACAACTATGAGAATTTGTTTTGTTTACTTCGAATAGAAAAATGAATTACTACCTCCGGTGGTAATTATAAAAGCCAGTTGACTAATTTGAGGAGATTAAGGAAGTAAGTTGAGTTAGTTATTTGTTCTAAATAGGTGTTGTCTTTTCTAAAATATCTTTGCTAATCAAGTGTATTGACTAGAACTCTTATTATTAGAAGGGCTACTTTGAAAAAAAAATGTAAAATATGAGAGACAAAATGAACTGGAGTTTTATATTTAAGGCCAAAATAAAAATCAAACAGGATTTTATATTAAGGACCAGAGGTAGTACACTAATATATTTTGACATTTGATGAAACTACAGAGAGTAGTTATATTGTCTTAAAAAGTTACATCCGACAGTAAATTACAGTCTTGAGTTAACATCAAATTTGTTGCCTTGATTGCAAATGAAAATTGATCCCGAGTCTTAAATAATTGAATTGGATCCACATCATTATAATCGCACAGCACCACGTCTTTGCACTAATTTCTACGTTCATAGTTAAGCTTTATCTTTGCCATGAATCTTCAGGTACTTGGTAAGAATTTTTCATAGCACAGTGTTTTTCCAGAATTATTTAATGTCAACAGCACCTTGTAATCCCAGTGCTTGCTTTCCTTCTAATCTTCGATATTCCTACCGCATGTAAGTTCTCTCTAACGCAGTCAAGGTTCTGTTCATCCCAGTTGAACGGTTTTGAAGGAGAAGGTTTAACAGATATCACGGTGCAAACTTAAAGGAGTTAATAAACAGAAAAAAAAACCTTAAAGACCTGATTCAAAATAAGAGCAAATTACAAGGGCCCAAATTAGTTTTCCAAAAAAAAGGGCAAAGAAATGCGAGAGAATTAACCTGTCATGATTGAATCGAAAATTCATATTTTTTTGAAGCAAATAAAAAACAAATTATATACATAATTAACTATAAGTAGATTAAAAATTTTAGTTAAATCAATTAATATGATATTTTTTAAACACCCTAATCATCTTTAATTTCATCCTTTCGTCTTCTATTTAATTTTATTGTGAGAATATTAATAAAATTAATTTAGAAAAAAATAGATAAACATAAAAATAAATTTTATATATAGAACGAATATCAATTTCACCCATGGGACAAGTATTAATTTACTTAAACAAGATGTATATAGATATTTAATATATCTAAGACAGATCAACGAAGGTGCAACCACATGGAATTAGATGTATCTTAAGATGTTATGTTATACAGATGACGGTTGCAATAATGGGCCAACTAAACTAAAAGACACTTGTTGGAAGGTCCAGTGATCGTTGAAATGGGCGGGTGCCAGGTCATTTTCATTTTTCATTAGCCAAGTGATTGCCGTTTGCTTCCTCTGTGTTCAGCTGTTTGCTTCTTCATCAGCCAAATTTAGAAAAATTAAAATTAAAAAAAAAAAACGCTGTTTGCTTCTTCACCGGGCTTCCTCTCTCATCGTCGGTCGTCTTCATCGCTTCTCAAATCTAATTCACCACCACTGCACTGCCACCACTCACTCGTTCACATTTCACTGTGTCACACTCACCGACTCAACGATTCGTTGCCATTGTTGTCCTCTGATTTTGGCTCTTCTTCCCTCCGAGTGAGCCACTCAGTTGCTCACCGATCCGCTCTCGGGCTCTTGGTTTGGTGCCCTCTACCATGGCCAAGAAGAATTCAGTTCAGAGGGATTCGTCTTCCGACGAAGAAGACGACCGCCACAACCTAATCGAGCAGAACGAGAGGAAGCCCCCTTCTCCCCCCACTACCATCACCTCCACTGCATTCCACGTGGAAAATTTCAGCTCTCGCATTCCCCGTTTCAATTTCAATTTCAAGTTCCAGAAGAGGTACTTGTTTGCTATTTTCCTCTCTTCATTCTCCTATTCTACTTCACCACCGATCCCCACTCCCTCTTCCCCACCCACCTCTCCTCTCTCAAGTTCGATTCCCTCGCCGATCAAATGAAGGAATCTGAGTTGCATGCTTTATATCTCTTGCGTCAACAGCAATTAGGTCTTTTGGGTGTTTGGAACAGAACATTTAACGAGTTGTCGTTGTCCTCTGTGAATTCCACGGTTGATTCGAATTCGAGTTCTCAAACGGCGGGGGTGAATCGCTCGCCAGAGCCATTGTTGGAAGATCTTAAATCTGTGTTATTTAAGCAGATATCTTTGAATAGAGAGATTCAAGATGTTTTACTGTCTCCCCATAGGACAGTGGGCTTGGTTGAACCTGAATTTGATTTTGGGAATGGTAGTTTGGGTGGGGATGTATCGTTATGATAGATGTAGAACGGTGGTGGATCAGCATTTTTCGCAACGAAGAACAATCGAGTGGAACCAAAGGCTGATAAGTTTTTGCTGGCTATATGCGTTTCGGGTCAGATGTCCAACCATCTGTTGCTTAGAGAAGCATATGTTTTTCGCTGCTCTTTTGAACCGGGTTTTGGTTATTCCTAGTCATAGAGTTGATTACCAATATGACGAGTGTTGGATATTGATCACATAAATAAGTGCTTGGGAAGAAAGGTTGTGATCTCCTTTGAAGAATTTCTAATATCGAGAAGCATCATATGCACATAAACAAGTTTTTTATGTTACTTTTCACAACCCCAACCTTGCTTTCTTGATGAAGAACGTTAAAGAAGTTGATCAGTCATAGGTTTGTCATTTACTAAACCTCAACCTGTCTGGGATGAGGATACAAGGAAGCCCAAGAAGAGGACGGTTCAAGATGTTTTGTCTAAGTTTGCACATGATGACGATTTGTAATGGCTATTGGAGATGTTTTCTTTGCTGCAGTGGAGCAAGAATGGTTAATGCAACCAGGTGGTCCAATTGCCCACCGATGCAAGACTCTTATGAGCCCAGCCGACTTATTTTGCTAACTGCTCAGCGATTTATTCAAACATTCCTGGGAAGGAACTTCATTGCCTTACATTTTCGAAGACATGGCTTTTTGAAATTTTGGTGCGTGCATTCTCATCCCTTCCCAGTACTAACCCAATTTAGATGTGCATTATGTCTGGAAATACGGCATTATAGATTATGACCTTACTATGATATTTTAATGTGTAATTTTGCCTGCATTGGAATGCTTCTATGAATTGAACTGGCCTGCAAGGTTTCTTTTTGTTTCTGGTATCATTTTATATTTGCCTCTGATGATTGTTTTCATGTTTTCAGTAATGTGAAAAAACCAAGTTGCTTTTACCCATCCTCAAGCTGCTGATTGTATCTTGAGGGTGGTGATAGGCCCAACGCACCTGTTATCTATCTTTCCACGGATGCAGCAGAGAGTGAAACTGGTCTACTTCAGTCACTAGTGGTACTAAATGGCAAGCCTATTCCACTTGTTAGACGCCCAGCTCGTAATTCAGCAGAAAAAATGGGATGCTTTGTTATACAGGCATCATATTGAAGGGGACTCTCAGGTGAGATGACAGTGCTACTTTTTTGGGATCTAAATTTAAATTATAGGATTGTAAACTGTAACCTCTTTTTCATGAGCACATTATTATATTTTCCTACTGAATCTACTAGATGGATCTTCTGTTTTTCTACTTTTGACTGAAGTTCAGAATAACAAAAGCTCTGAGACGCCTTGGATCCTAGGTGGTATGATTTAGTTCTTGACATCTATGTGTAGATTTATTGTTTATGTTCGTTACTATAGGGATTTACCCCATTCCTCAAGCTGCTGATTGTATCTTGAGGGTGGTTGAAAGGGCCAACGCACCTGTTATCTATCTTTCCACGGATGCAGCAGAGAGTGAAACTGGTCTACTTCAGTTACTAGTGGTACTAAATGGCAAGCCTATTCCACTTGTTAGACGCCCAGCTCGTAATTCAGCAGAAAAATGGGATGCTTTGTTATACAGGCATCATATTGAAGGGGACTCTCAGGTGAGATGACAGTGCTAGTTTTTTGGGATCTAAATTTAAATTATAGGATTGTAAACTGTAACCTCTTTTCATCAGCACATATTATTATATTTTCCTACTGAATCTACTAGATGGATATTCTGGTTTTTCTACTTTTGACTGAAGTTCAGAATTAGCTAAAGCTCTGAGACGCCCTTGGATCCTAGGTGGTATGATTTAGTTCTTGACATCTATGTGTAGATTTATTGTTTATGTTCGTTACTATAGGGATGATGGCGGTGCCCACTGCTATGAATATGCCTTGTCTTTTTAATTATTTATCTTGTATCCTTGCACACAAAACAAATATATTTGCCCTTTCAGATCAATTTGACTAAGAATCTGTGTTCTATTCATACAAATCTAATTATTATATTGGTAGTGGCAAGGCTCAACATTTTTCAGGATAATTTGAAAGTTTTAAGGGCTTTAGTCTATGGGATGCTCAACTTTTTTGCTTTCAATTGTGCTATGTGGTTTTTAACATATTTGTGATTTGTGATTGGATCTTTAGAATAGAGGTCTAAGATAATTGGGCCCGTCGTCGATGATTTATGTGTAAACTCTAACAAGTCATGTAATAGCTTATAATTATTTACTTAAATGCTAAGTATAAAATTATGATAGCAGATGGCAGCGTTCTTGCTGCCATACAAGGCATTCTCTACTTAAATTGTCTAGTTCTGTTTTATTTTCCGTTTTGGTTGTGGAGGAGGAGTCTCTTATAGTCCATGAAATATTGTTTATCAGTACTGTTTGACTTTTGCCTGAAATATAAGTTAATGTAATCTAAAGCAAATTTAATATTATCATGATAGCAAAAGTTGTTTACCTCCTCCTTCATCCATCCTACTTTGAGTGTCTGACTGTCTGATTTCTCCCTGAAGTGCTAATATTAACTTTTTTGAATTATTGATTTCGGTGATTTTAGAAAATCAGAGGGTTCAAGAGCTTTACTTTCCCTTCTTTCGCCATTGCTTCGTTTGTGG